ATTATATTTTAGGGCATTATTTTTATCGTAGGAGTATGCAATGAGGGTTGCAGAGTGGATTATATTTGGGGTAAGGGGTGGGGCTTGGGGAGGTGCGGGGTGGGGGATTGTGTCCCAATGAGGGAGTTTTTCTTTTGCTTTTCAAAGAGAGGAGCAAATGGGAGGGGGGAGGGGTTTGTGCGGGGAGAAGGGTGCAACAATGAATGAATGGAATCCCAAAATCTCTGTAGATGTTCATTGAAATGAAAAATAACCTAAATTTAAAAACAAAAAACAAAAAACAAAAAAAAACCACTATAACATATAAAGTGGTCAGGCTGAGACCTTGGTCTTTCTAGTAGGTTCATTCCCTGACTGCAAACTAGTACCAGCAACAGTGAACTCATAGGAACTCTGTAGGGGAATCTGAAAGGGACCTATTGTGCCAATTTAAGTCAAGACTCTGAGCCTCTTCTCACAACATCACTTAGATGAGTTTGAACTTGAACTTGAAACTCAGGTCAACCTCACATCAAAGCAGGCTCTATTATTTTAGTCTCTCAATCTCATTTCCACCTTTTGTAAAATGAATCATAATACCTACTTGGACTGGAAGATATACTACAGCAGTGTAACACTGGCCTAGAACAGTGTTTTCTGCTTCCAACCCTCTGTAGAACTATAATTGCCATTTCTGAGCATGTTCATACTTTCTAATCCTTTCCCACAGTGTGCACCAGTTGTGACTAGCACAAGACTCCCAATAGTTCCTGGAGGGCTTCTGGGAAGCCACAGATCAGGTCAGGGATGACATTCATCATATTTTGCTTGAGCTCTCAACTAACAATTCAGATTGTTTGAGGCATAAACTACTCAGAGACTAGTCACTGCTATTCTAGGAAGTGTTTATGGCAAGCCTTCATTGTCTTGACCAATTCCCTCCTCCATAAAGTATACAACTTCCTCACTTACGTTTCTTTAGGTGATTGCTGGAGTAACAGATTAATACTCATTTGGGGAGTGGCCAGTGTCTAACTAGCCATCTCTGGATTGAAATACAAAAACCAAAGTTTCTGATGTTTATTTTCTCCCCAGAACAAAGCCAAAATAAACTGTATACCAGGTTTACATTTTTACAAAACCAAAGAATTTTCTTGGCCTTTAATAAACTAAGGTGATGCTGACATTTCTACCCTTGCAGAACAAAGCATTTTAATAGTTCAAAGAACATATCCTATGGATCAGTCTCTGGATATTGATTGCTTCCTGTACCTGAGTCCTTGCTGGGCCAATGATACTACCAACTAAGAACAAGAATTTTGGAGGACTAAGAAGGTTGATCAACATATGTTCAAAATTGGAGTCGGGGTCTCAAACTATATAATGACCAGATACCATAGACTTCATCTACCTCATGCCCCATTTTGATCGCAGATTAAATTCATACACCATTGAATCAATTATGGTGGTCTTCAGTGGGAATTTCTGGTCATCTGCCTACCTTTGGCCGGGACTGCTGGGGGAATATCAGCCTTCTCCTTCCGCCTCTTGCCCTTCTTGGCCTGCAGTGGGGCCAAGCTGGTTACACTGGTGACAGTCTCTCTTGAGCTGTAGAGGAAAATGTCCTGGTGAAGGCAAACACATTTTTCCAAGGGGGCAAGGTAAGCAAGTTTGTGGGTATCTCTGAGTAGCTGTGTAAAGAAAGATAATTTTCTATCTAGACAAGAGTTACTCTATGTTCATTTCTGGGGACTTCTGGAAGTCTGCATTGACCCTGAACCTATCTGTGGTCCTAATCTAAGGTGGTTCATAATCCAAAGATGATCTTCTGGGCACTCCAAAAAGCCTACATATGAAAGTCATTTGTTGGTTGTTGTTAAGTACTATTAACTCAACATTAACTCTTGTCCAACCCAGCACCATCATCACTGTGTCTGCCATGTTGTAATCACTGTACAAATTTATCTCATTCAGGATCTTTCTCTCTCTCACTGACCTTTCAACTTTCCACATTTGATGAGCTTTTCCAAGTACTAGTTTCTCCTGATAATATGTCCAACGTGAGGTCCCTAATGGATACCTTTTCCTCTAAGAGGATTCCTGGTTGCATTCCCTTGTTAATCTTTTTCAAAGTCCATAGTATACGTAATACTCTTGGCTAATACCACTCAAAGGCATTGATTCTTCTTCAGTCTTCCTTGTCCTGTTAGTAGAGATTAAACATGGAACTGAAAATGCTGACCCTTCTGATGTGAAACTTGTCACTCACTGAAGAATGTGGCATCAGAATCAGAGGATAATTCATCAGCAACCTACATTATCTTGTTTGCTAAAAGTGAGGAGGAGCTGAAGTGCTTTCTGCAGAAGATCAAAGACTACAGCCTTCAAAATGAGATTACATCTCCACATCAAGAAAACAAAGGTCCTTACCACTGGGTGAATAGGCAACATGGCAGATAGAGAAAGGATTGAAACTGATTATCTCACTTGGATCTACAATCAACTCTCTGGGTACCAGCAGTTGGTAGAGAAGGAAATATATAATTTTGGACAAATCTGCTTTCAGGGACATTTCAAAAATATGGAAGAACAATGACATCAGTTTGAAGAATAAGGTACACATGATTCAGACCATGGTCTTTTCAATCACTTGCTATGCATCTGAGAGCTATACAATGAATAAGAATGATATAAGAAGAATTGATTTCTTTGAGTTGTGGGGCTGGAAAACAATATTGAATATCTCATGGGCAATCAAAGGAACAAACAGATAGGTCTTGGAAAAGGTGCAGCCAGAGTTATCCTTAGAGGCAAGGACAGTAAATCTTTGTCTCTCAAGAATATTTTGGTCATGTTTCTAGGAAAGGTTATTTCTTGGAAAGAGATATGTTTGGCAAGGGGCGGGGGGGAGGGGTCAGCACAAGAGAAGAGAGGAAGACTCTCTAGGAGATGGATTGACATGGTAACTGCAGCAGTGACTTGAAGTTTATAAAAGATGGTGAGGATGGCACAGTGTAGGATGGATTCAGATCAATGTTCATAGAGTGGCTATGAGTGGCACCTAACAACACAACACTTTGCTTTCTTCATAGATAATATCCTTGATATCATCCCACAACTCATTTGGTCTTCTATCATGGGTGTTCAATGCCTCAAACCTATTCTTAAGATGATCATGAAATTAAAAGTAATTGATTCAAGTTTCTGTGGACTCATTTTCATTTTCTTTGGTCTCAATTTGAATGTGCATATGAGTAATTGATGATCTGACCCACAGTCTGTCCCTGGACTAATTTTGACTGCTATTAAGCTTCTCCAACAATTTCTTCCACAAATGTCATCAATCTGATTCCTATCAGAAGCAGCCAATCAGATGAAATCCGTGTGTAAAATCATCTTTTGTGTCTTTTAGAAAAAGATTTGCAATGAATAAATCATTGTAAATATAAAATTCAATCGTTCTATTTCCAGCTTCATTTCTATCACCGAGCCCATATTTTCCAATGGCCGTTCTTTCTTCACTGTTTCTACTTTTGCATTCCAATCACCAATCATCATTAATGCATCCCGATTGCATGTTTGGTCAATTTCAGACTGAAAAATTTGCTAAAAATTCTCAATTTCTTCCTCTTTGGCTCTAGATGTAGGAACATATATTTGAATAATAGTCAAGTTAATAGGTCTTCCTTGTATGTACATGGATATTATCACTCACAATACTATATTTTAGGATTGAACTTGAAATTGACTTTTTTATTATGAATGCAACACCATTCTTACTTTTTCATTTCCTGTATAGTATACCATATGATTATCAGATTCATAGTGGCAAAAGCGGTATCTCACTAATGCCTAGTATGTCAAAATTCATGTGTTCCATTTCATTTTTTAACAATTTCCAGTTTTCTAACATTCAATCTATGTACATGGTCCAATTGTTAAGTGATGTTTGTTATTGATTTTTCTCATTTCAACTGGCTTCCAATCTGGACTCCACCACTATACTACTATAACTATCCTCTTATTTAGTGTTTATAGGGCTTTTAAAAGCCTGTTATTTAGATGGCCCATCTTCTTCCTAGTCTCTCTTAATCAGGGAATTCTACCAAAACGTGTTCTTGATGGATATCAGAAGAGACTCTAAAGATTGCTCTAGAGCATCAAGAAGCCAAATCTAAAGGAAAACATGTGTAAGTGAAAGAGCTGAACAGATTATTTCAAAGGGCAGCTCAGGAGGATAAGGCAAAGTATTAGAATGGAATGAACAGAGAGTTTGGAATTCAATAATATAAAGGGAAGAAGAACTCGCTCTGCATTTCTCCAGCTGAAAGAACTGAAAAAAATAAATTTAACTCTCTTGTCACAATATTGAAAAATGCTATAGGCAATATATTGAATAACCCAGAAAGCATCAAAAGAAGATTGAGGGAATACACAGAGTCACTGTACCAGAAAGAATTAATTGGTACTGCAAAATTTCAAGAAGTATTATATGAACAGGAGCCAATGGTAATGAAGGAGGAAGTAGAAGCTGCATTGAAAACATTGGCAAAACATTCACAGACTGGAATACTATGCAGCACACAGAACAATCATTTTGTAAATTACTACCTAATTTGGGAGCAACTGAAGAGCATTATGCTGAATGAACTAGGACAAATGCTGTATAAAACCATTATTGTAATATGAGTATGAGGATCCAAGGCAGAGGGGAGAGTGTAAATAGAGAGGTGAGGATGGGTGGTAGGATGTTAATCATAGGATTTCAAAATTTGATGGGTAGGTGAGATGAAGGAAATGGGAAGGATCTTTTGTGAGAAAACAATGTATTTAAACTTTGTAAATATATCAGAGTAATATAAAAATTAATAATTTTAAAAAAGTAATGTTCCAGCAATCGATTGACTTGTTTCTATTAACTGACACGTTTTTGGATGCATTCACCAGTCTATGCCAGGAAATTTGGCAGACAAATCGATGTCTTTGAGCTGTGGTGATGCATGATCAAGAGAACAAATAGATATGTCTTAGAGATGGTGTAGCCGGAGTGCTCTTTGGAGGCAAAAGTTGTCTCATAAATATTTTGGAAATGTTGCTAGGAGTTACTATTCTTTGGAGAGGGACATGATGTTGGGAATGGTGGAGGGTCAGCAAAGGAGAAGACCCTCAAACAGGTGGACTGACATGGTGACTGCTGCAATGGGCTGTTGTGTGTCAGGAATCGTGAGGATGGCACAGGGAAGAACAGGGTTTATATCTTTTGTTCATAAGGTCACTATGAGTCGTGCTCTACTCAATGGCACCTACCAACAACAACATTGACCCGTTACAAATGTCTTCCTGTCTCTTCAAGTTCCCATTGCACCTTACCCATTTCTTCACCTTCCCATCCTCCTATCTTTGCTGTCCTAGTGATTTCCTCTTCCTTCTTCCAAACTTTCCCCTTTTTTCCCCTTTTAAGAAGTATGTGTGAGATATATATAAACATTTGACTGTGCTTATGCGAAACCTACACTTGGACCAAGAGTCAGTTATCAGAAAAGATCATCTGAGATGCTGGGCTGTATGAGGAGGAATGTGGCATCAGGATTGGTGGAAGTGTCATCAACAACCTGCATTATGTAAATGATACAACCTGCTTGCTGAAACGGAGGAGGAGCTGAAGCGCTTGCTGCAGAAGGTCAAGGACTGCAGCCTTCAATACAGATTGAAGCTCAACATCAAGAAGACAAAAACTCACCACTAGGCCAATTGGCAGCATCAGTATGGATGATGAAGAGATTGAGATAGTTAACAGTTTTAGTTTGTTTGACTACAACACTCTCGGTACCCGCAGCCAGGAAATCAAGAGAAAAATTGAATTGAGAAAGTCAGTTGTGAGGGACCTCTCAAGAGTATTGAAGAGCAACGACATTAGGATGGAGACTAAGGTGAGCCTGATCTGTGCTATAGTCTTCACAATTACATGCTATGCATCAGAGATTTGGACAGTGACTAGGGATGATAGAAGGAGAATTGATGCCTTTGACCTGTGGTGCTGGAGAAGAGTGTTGAATATACCATGGACTGCTAGGAGAACAAACAAGTTTGTCCTGGAGAGGATGAAGCCAGAACACTCCTTGGAATCAAGGATTCTGAAACTTCATCTGACATACTTGATTGAGGTGGTGGGAATAAGTGTGTCGGAGTTAGGGCTCTTGTACATAGGGTCGCAAGCGACTTGACAGTACATAACAAGAACAAATATGTGTGTGTGTGTGTATGTGTGTATATGTATATATATGTGTGTGTGTGTATATATGTATGGATATGTGTATATTATGTATGTAGATGTGTACATGTATGTAGATGTGTATATGTATGTAGATGTGTATATCTATCTCTATCTCTATCTATCTATCTATCTATCTATCTATCTATCTATCTATCTATCTATATCTCGCAGTCCACTCAATGGCACATAACAAGAAGAAAGAAGAGCAAAAACAACATTTTCTATTTGCAATACCTTTTTTATCTTTATATTGGTTCTTCCCAGATTGAGCCTATCTTCTCTTGGCTATTGTAATGTTCTTTGTCTAACCATTACATTTCTGTTCTTTCCCTCC